AATGAACAAGCCATTCCCAAATGAAGTCATTCTAGTGATCTATGATAATTTGATCGGTATGGTTGTATTTCAGAGCTGAAGAGATGATTTCTCGACCGGGAAGGCGTATGAGGCCGTGATGTGATGAGGCAGAAAGAGCAGAGGCCATGGACAGCCTGGGGCTGAGCGGCCTGGAGGCCCCCCGCAGGGAGGACGGCAGGGACCTGCCACCCGCTCTGCTGCCAAAAAAGCCATTACGGCCTTGGAAATACCCCCGGGCCTATTCCCACCGTGAAATGAGCCAAACACCTTGCTGGAAGGCCTCTGCTGAGATGGGTGTTTTGTGGGCAGAAATCCTCCGCAGACACCTGCCGCAGACACCAGCCGTCCCAGCACGAATGCCCGGCAATGCCAGGAAACCCGGAAACACGCCCAAAACGCGGCGGGATCCCAGGCGGCCAGCATGCTGCCCGGCAAGGAAGGCACCACCGAGGTTTTCTTTGTGCTCGCTTTCCTCCTCCTCCTCGCTTGCTTTCCGCCTGAACATCGCGACAGGCTGCAGCAAGCTCCGGGTCTTCCCTGCTCACGAGGGGAGCGCTGAAGTGAGCGAAACGTCACAAAAGGAAGGTCTAAACTGCTGAGAAATATTTCATTTAAAATAGCTTATGCTGTCGCAGGCGGCCCCGGAAAACCTACTAAAACTCACCCGCTCCGGTCCCTGTCGCCTCCCCGGACAGCCGTGCCCGCGCACAGCAAAATGCATTATGGGCTTCGGTCAGCTTATTACGCCCACAAACACATGTACCAGTTTCTGAGTGAGATCCTTAAGTACGAAGTTTTTTTTTTCCTTTTCCTACATACCTTTACATTCACGTAGGCCTCCATTGCGCCCGGCAGCGTTTCCTTAAACAAGCACTGCTGACCGCCCTCGTCCGGATTGGTGCTCTGGGAAGGAGAACTCAAGTAACTAAGGCATAGTAGATCCTGCCTGGTGGCAAGAGGAAGAACTGGTGGCTTTCTGAGCTGCCTCTGCGGCCCATTGTCTGGTATTTCTGTGGTCACAAGCAAAAAGGGCCCTCGCATTCTGCCCAGCACCATCAGTCGCAACTGCCTGCTCTTGCCCCGGGGGAGCAACGTGTCTTCAGCGCCGCGGGGTCTCCTGCGCTCCACGGAGGCACAGTTCAGCCAGCCAGCTGGCCTGCCGTGAGATCGCTCCTCCCTGACTGCTCTTTGGACAATAATTTTTTTACGTTAATAAAATACTATATGCAACCCACTCCTGGGCCACTTATGCAGACCACACTCCTGGGAAACCTCAACCCGTTGAGTTTTCAGCCTCAAGTTAGCTTGCTTCTGTGCTTTTCAGTCTGACACTCCAGATTACTTTAATGATGGAGCAGCCTGGATTAAATTAATTTCTCCCTACAAAAGCAGCTGGAATGTGTTTGACTCTCTGGAACGCTAATAGTTGCCGGGCAGGGAGGGTGAAGCGTGGCGTTGGCGGTGGGGACGCCGGCCCCCACCAACGCAGCAGCGAACTCGCCGTGACTCACCAGCGGGACGTCCACGCTGGGGGGACGCATCCGGCGTCTCTCCCGCAGCGGCGCGCGGGGTGCCGAATTATGAGCGAGCGAATGGGGCTTTCCCT